AAGCCCCTCTCACAGCAGACTGGCACGAACTAGCTTGAGGAAGAAAGAGAAAACCGAGATCAGAGCGGCACATGAGCCGCCACAAGCCACAAACAAGCAGGAACCCAGGATCCCTGACCGAACGCAGGCATCAAAATCGCTACCCCGCCCGCTCGCGCCCGACTTTCTACTTCCTCGTGATCCAACCCGCCACCCCCCTCGCCTCGTCACCCTCCCGCCGCCTCGCCGCCACCCCGCCCGCTCGCGCCCGACTTTCTACCTCCTCGTGACCCTACCCGCCACCCCCCTCGCCTCGTCACCCTCCCGCCGCCTCGCCGCTACCCCGCCCGCCCGCGCCCGACTTTCTACCTCCTCGTGATCCAACCCGCCACCCCCCTCGCCCGTCACCCTCCCGCCGCCTCGCCGCCACCCCGCCCGCTCGCGCCCGACTTTCTACCTCCTCGTGATCCGAACCGCCGCCACCCTCGCCTCACCCCCCCCGCCGCCTCGCCGCCCTCGCTCGCCGCTCGCTTGCTCGCTCGCCCGACTTCCTACTTCCTCGTGTTCCGCCCCGCCGCTACCCTCGCCCCACCCTTCCGCCGCCTCGCCTGCTGCCGCCCCCCTCTCAGTCGTTTGCCTTCTGCCGCCGTGCCGCCGCTTCCCCGCCGCCTCGCTCCATCCTGCCGTTACCGCGCCGCCCTCGCCCCCCGCCGCCGCCCCCCGCTCAGCCGTTCGGCCCGCCGACCGATGTCCAGCCTGCCATCCTACCGTGCCGCGCCGCCTTTACACACACACCTGAATTTCTGCTCGACCGGGTTTGCGTTGAGGAGCGAACCGAGCCGCCGGTGTGTCCCGCAGCGGCCTCGCTGGGCCAGAAATCGGCCCGCGAGTGCTCCGCAGCAGCCTCGCTGAGCCAGACGGTCGGCTCGCGAGGTGGATGCTAGCATGAGCCCGATGCGTCGCGCAGTGCTCTTGCGTTTCGGCGGTAGTGATCTGATCACCCGAATACCACGTTCGGATCGCTCCTCATCGCAAACCCCGTCAGCAGTCCTCCTCCGGGAATGTACGTAAGAGCTACATACACTAAAATATCGAGGCGACGAAGACTCGGAGAGGCATCGCGGTATTTTTTCGACGTCTGTGAAGGTAGTCTCCCCAAATCCCCAGGGCCTGCAGGGCTCGCACCTCAACCTCTCATAGACCAGCGCGCAGCGCCATAGGAGGTATTTCCTTCTCATAAGTATCAAGGTGTGTGAAGCCCGAGGCACACCAGTTTCGTCCTCGGACATCTTGGCGGCGGCCGTCGCCGATTTTGCCGGCCTCGTCCTCAAAGTCAAAGTCTCTACCCGAGCCCATCAACGCGAGGCCCACGCGCAATGCACACACAGGCTGTATCATCGCTTGAGCTGTGGGAGCGCGCGTCGTCGGTGTTCCCTTTTTGCGAGCTCAGGGCGCTCCTCATAATTGAGATCACGTTTCACCTGCTCATCGTTCTGCTGGGCTGCCTTATATACGGATTCGGATTCGCGATTTTCGTCGTCAGTTCGCTGTGGTGGTTCGTCGGCGTCGGAGTCCTCAGCATGATTGGCGCTTCGCTGTGGTGTTGCAAGTGCTGCGCTCCAACCACGACTCTCTGCGCCGCCTTCTCCTTGGTCCTGACAGCTGGCATCCTCTCGTTGGTGCTTTACGCCTACTTTTTGGTCGCGTTCGTCATCCTCGCCGCCTTTTCAGAAGGTTTCGCAGTCAGCAGCCGGTCTTTCGACGTCACTGAGGAACCGTTCCCGACGCCAATCAGCCTTCTTACAAATGGCACCGTGGAAAGGATGCTCGAAGGCTACATAATCGCATTATATCCGTCCAGCACGGCGGGAACATACTCGACCCTCCCCATCGCCGGGGGCACTGCGGGCGGTGCACTGGCACGGGAAATGACGTATGACGACTCCGAATCCGCAGAGTTGGGCAGGTTTGGGCCGCTCATGGACGTTACCTGGCTGCATGGCGTCTACATCTACGGGGGTTGCATCGTGGGCCTCCCAGTGCTCGCCATTCTGAGGATTGTCCTCTCGAGCATGGCTTTCTGTAAAAAAAACTCTGTGGTTGCGGCCACCACCATTGGCGGCGGGGATGGCGGCGGCGGCGGCACCAGCGGCGCTGTCTCCGTGAAGAGGGGCACTGTCGTCTCGGTGGTGCCGCAGCCAAGCGCCGCAAGCGCCACGAGCGTGGCAGAGGGCAGCGTCAGGGGGGCGAGCAAGGCGTCGAGCACTATCGCCGTGTCCCAGGTGTGAGGTATCATCGTTCGCCGTCTCTGGCCAAATCCGCGGGGCCGCGACAGGGGCCATGTCTGCGACAAGCCCGGCGGTGAATTGCGCGCTGGATGGGTGACTTGCGGTCATGTCTGTGCATGTGAGCTCATGTGGAGGGTATGGACATACAAAAAAAGGAAACAGCGGCGTCCCGGCCCAAGAGGGAGGGAATCCGGGAGCACGATCTAGAGTGATTCTGAGATCAGGTTGGGCGACTGGCAGACATTTCAAAAATTTGGCGCCGCAGGCGCCCGCTGCGTGCCCACCATGGTTGGGCGCGCAGCGAAGAAAATTTTGCGCTCTCGACAGCCTTTTCTAATAGGAAAATGGCCTCTACGCTCGGCGCCATACCGCTTGTCGGCGCACAGCGGAGTTCGCAAGCCGGACCTGCTGCCTTCCCTTCTACGTACACTTTCAGAATGGAGGCTCAAACGCAGCGCAGGGCTCAGACCAAGTGCAAGTCGATTTGTACCACAAAGTTGGTAGACAGTGCCAAAACCGCGGAACCGAAAATGGCGTTTAATTTCGCGCACCTGCTGTCCGCCGCCTGTGGCGGCGCTCCGCACCGCTTGAGGCGCCTGCGGCGCCCCTGGCGGCGCGCTGTCCGCGCGCCCCTCTGTGGTTTTCGTGGGGGGCTCGGCTCTCGTCGAAGTCTCGATTTGTACCGGATTTCGACGTTAGTGGCAAAACTGCGGAACCGAAAATGGCGTTTAATTTTGCGCACCTGCTGTCCGCCGCCTGCGGCGGCGCTCCGCGCCGCTTGCGGCGCCTGCGGCGCCCCCCTGGCAGGTGGCACAGCAGTGTGTACGGCTGCGGGTGCGCCCGGTACACAACCGGCGCTCTATGGCGCGTGCTCCGGGGGAGCACGACTACGCAGTCGTGGCTTCCACACGCGAGAGAGTGGCTTCTATATTTACGAAAACATTGGGCGTCCCTAGTGCCGCATCCATAAGAAGTGACGTCACGGTTCGAAGGAGCGCCTGGCGGCACAGCTTAGAGTGGCAGCCGAGCGCCGGCCACGACTATCGAGTCGCCGTCGCGGAGCTGAGGGCTGGCCGACGGGTGGCGCGGTCTTCCTCCCAGCGCCACCCATCGGTCAGCCCTCAGATCGATCGATCGGCGCTCAAAGTCGCTTCAGATCCGAGAAAGCTGCTGGCGCCGCTGCCGATCCCAGCCGCGACGCCAGCAGCTTCCTCTGCTCTCCAATGCGCCGAGAAGCGACGCGGCGGTGCTCGGCTCGCCATGCACGATGACGGCTCCGCTGGGTGCTCGTCGGCCGGTCCGGTGGCACCCTATTCGCGCGTCACCTGCCGGCGTCCCGACGACAGCCTCGCGCCGCCGCTGATGGAGGGGCGGTCGGCGCCACTGCCGCCGCGCCGCCGGTGGGAGAGGCACTGGTGGTGGCCTGGGCGGCCCTCCGCCGCCGCTCGGCGCGCCCGGGCAGCGGTGGCAGCCTGCGCCGCCCCCGCTTCGAGCGGGCGCCCCCGCTTCGAGCGGGCGCCCCCCGCTTCCAGCGGGCGCCCGGGACGGGTTCCCCGCTTCGAGCGGGGAGATGCGGCCTGGGATTCGCTTTCTGAAATGTCTGCCTCCAAAGGGGAAACGCCCAACCTGATCTCAGAATCACTCTCTAACGCGAACAAAACGCGTAACGGTAGTGGTGTTTGTCGGATTCGGGCCGAGAACCGTCAACCGTTAGGGCGGAATGGCTGGGGCGTGGGGCGGCCACCCCCTACCCCCCTACATCGACCCTACTTTGCTGGAGGAAGATGGTTGCCCAGGTTACTCAGCGGACACACGATCCCGGCGTGAACACGACGAACTACCCTTCTCCGATGCGAATGCGGCACGCGCCACAGCGCGGCACGTGCCGCATTCTTTGTCTGAAGTTAAAACTCGAATCAGAGCGGTATCGGCGTTGTCCTGAGTTTTCTCCCCCGGACCGCCCGTCCGGCACAGCTCCGGGACGCACGCCGGCGAAGCACCATCAAGCTGCTGTACGGCCCCGGCACCGCCTCCCCTGGCTTAGCTAGACTGAGAGATATTGTGCACATGGTCAGCTTCTACAATATATACACTGACACTTTACCTCCCAGAGCTCGTCCCGGTCCGCCACGGCCATCCTCGGCCTCCGAAGGGCCCCCGGCCCGGCCGCGGCGCGGTGCGGCGGAGTCAATCAAAGGCGCCTGCGGCGCCGTGGTCAGGAGGTGTTAGTTCACAGCCTTGTTATTGACAAGAAAATACGTCCTATGGCGCTGCGCGCTGGTCTGTGAGAGGTTGAGGTGCGAGCCCTGGAGGCCCTGGGGATGGGGGGAGACTACCCGCGGGCCTAGAAGGCCCGCGCGCAGAGGGGTGGGACATTGAGATTGAACATTCTGTTGAGCGTGTGGACCACTTGTCCGATGTCCAGCGTCGGCGCGTAGCTCGGGTCGTACAAGTACTCACCGGTCTCATCACTCATCAGCGGCATTGGCCATTGCCATGGTAGGCCAGGCCCACCTTATCTTGCAGCGCAGCGCGAGCCTGCATGTGCTCGCGCAACCCCACCTTGGAAGGCAACTCGCCGCGAGGCCAGCCCTCCTCTTCCCAGAATATACCTACAACAGAAAAACACACCCCTCCTCTTCACACCTTGTAGCCGGGTATTTTGTACCCGGGTATTCATTGCAGAGCACAGTAAGGCACGCCGCATTTCGGCTGTCGTCATTTCCGGCTGCCATGGGAGGCTGCTCGTCGGTCCCGCAGCCGCCGGGCGCGCCGCCCTCCGCGCCCCCTCCCGAGGTCTCGTTCGAGCCGCACGCGCCCGAGTTTGACGCGCTCGTCGAGGGCGGCGCCCGCCTGCTCGCCTCGTCGGACGAGGAGCTCTTCCACGAGGCGGGCGTGTGGATCCCGTCGACAGCGGAGTGGCTCGTCACGTCCAACCGGCTCAAGGCCGGCACGCCCGAGACGCACGTCAAGATCCTGGCGGTGCACTTCCCGTCCGGCGCCGTGCGCCGGCTCGAGGCGCTCGAGGCCCAAATCGTCATGGGCAACGGCGGCACGACGGACTTCGCCGGCGGCGCCTACCTGTGCTCGCAGGGCCTCGGCGAGCAAACCGGCTCGCTGTGGCACGTGGACGCGAGCCTGTCCGTCGGCACGCGCGTCGGCCCGCCCGAGGGCCTCGTGCTCAATTCGCTCAACGACGTCGTGCTCCACCGCGCCTCCGGCCGCCTCCTCTTCACCGACCCGGCGTACGGCATCGAGGTCCAGGGCTTCCGCACGACCTTCCACGCCTCCAAGGCCGTGTGGGGCGTGCCCGCGGACCCCGAGAAGGCGGCGCACGCGGCGAGCTGGGCCATGCTCAACGAGTGCCACGACCAGCCCAACGGCGTGCTGCTGTCGCCCGACGAGCGCATCGCGTACGTCACCGACGTGTGGAGCGGCAAGTGGCACAACAACCCCGACGTCCAGCTGCGCAACGCCGCGGGCGCAGGCGGCGAGCAGAGCAGGATCCACGCCTTCGACGTCGTGCACGACGCCGCGCAGGGCACGGTCGCGCTGGCCAACGCGCGCACCTTCGTCGACCTTCGCGAGGAGCCTAAGCCTGCCGAGGGCTACCCCGACGGGATCAAGTGCGACGAGCACGGCAACGTGTACGCCGGCTGCGGGGGGGGCGTGCGCGTGTACGCGCCGTCGGGCCACTTCCTCGGGCGCATCGCCGTCAAGGGCGGCGTCGCGAACCTGTGCTTTGGCGGCGACGACGGGCGCACGCTGCTCATGCTCAACGAGACGAAGGCCTTCACCGTGCGGATGAAGGTCCGCGGGGCGCTCGAGGTGACGCAGAGCCTGAAAAGAGTACAGAGTAAAGAGTAAATTGCACGCAGAGCCTGTGAGCCGCCTGTCGCGTCGCGGCCGTCTCACTTCTTCCACGCCTCGCTCGCCGAGGAGGGCATCCGCTTGATGTGGGCGCAAGAGCGCGGCTTCGAGCTGCCGGCGCAGCCGTGGCAGGGAGCAGAGGGCGAGAGCAGAGCCCGCGTGCGGTGGCTGTGCTTCGCTGCGCTGCTGCGCGCATCCAACCCGCTGGCGAGGGCGGCGGGAGGCGCTCAGCATAGCCTCTTCATTGACGGCGAGGGGCGGCTGTCGTCGTGCGGCCAGGGCTCCTTGGGCACGCCGAGGGCGTGGCGCGGCTCAACTACCCTCAACACGCCGATCCGGCTCCCGTCGACGCTTGGCGGCGAGCGCGCCGTGAGCGTGTCTGCTGAAGATGACCACAGCCTCGCCATGACCGCCGACGGAGCCGTCTGGAGCTGGGGCGATGGAGAAGAAGGCCGGTTGGGCACGGCAACGAGCGGGAGGCGACCACAACCTCGCCATCTCCGCCGACGGAGCCATTTGGAGCTGGGGCGGGGGAGACCACGGCAAGTTGGGCCACGGTGACTGGCAGATCCAGGGGCAGCCGAAGAAGGTCGAGGCCTTGGCTGGGCGGCGCGTCGTCCGGCTGTGTCGGCTGGACCCCGCCACAGCCTCGCAATCACCGCTGACGGCGCCGTCTGGAGCTGGGGTGAAGGAGGCTCTGGCCATCTGGGCCACGGCAACTTGCAATGCCAGCTGCTGCCCAAGAAGGTCGAGACCTTTGCTGGCCAGCGCGTCGTCGCTACGTCGCCGGGATGCGACCACAGCCTCGCCCTCACCGCCGACGGCGCCGTCTGGAGCTGGGGCGAAGGAGGCTGGGGCGCGCTGGGCCACGGCGACCGGGAGCACCAGTGGCAGTCCGAAGAAGATCGAAGCGTTGGCTGGCCAGCGCGTTATCGCTGTGTCTGCTGGGTACAGCCACAGCCTCGCCACGACTGCTGACGGGGCCGTGTGGAGCTGGGGCGCGCGGTGGAGACGACGGCCGGTTGGGCCACGGCGACGAGCAGGGCCAGTGGCTGCCGGAGCTGGTCGCGGCCTTGGCTGGGCGGCGCGTCATCGCTGTGTCGGCTGGACCCCGCCACACCCTCGCCAACACCGCCGACGGCGCCGTCTGGAGCTGGGGCTATGGATACCACGGCCAGCTAGGCCACGGCGACCGGGAGCGCCAGTTCGAGCCCAAGAAGATCGAGGTGTGGGCGAGCCGGCCGCCCACGCCTGCTTCCTCTGACGGAGAGGACAGCAGCGACGGAGAGGACAGCGATTCGGACGAGTAGGAAGCAAGGCGGGCAGCGGGAGGGCGAGTAGCCATTGAAGCTCAAGCAGGGCCCGGGGAGTACCTAGGTAGCGTTTTGAGTGGCAGTGCCAGTGGGCGCGAGCGTTCCGTGACCGTACGGTGTGTCAGCACTGCGGGCGATGTGTGAGTATTTGGCCGTACAGGGCTACAGCGTACTAAGACGAGTTTTTTTTTCAAAAACACGTCATGTCCTTTCGCCTGCGGAAACGACCACGAATAGCACGGCAGCGCGCAGGGCTGCGCCCCGGGAGAGACGCCCTCTCTCGCTAAATAAATAGATAATCACGACATGGATAGGAGCGGTGCCTGGCTTCCAAAGAAAGAAGAAAACAGACAACCCAAGGGAGCGCCTCCCCAAATTCTTTTGCCTAGTGTAGAAAGAAAGAAAACAGACAGGCCAAGGGAGGGATGGGAGGACCACGGCCCGCCGCCACCACACAGGGATTTTAAGGAGAGGAGTGTGGTGCTAGCCGTCGCCCACCCCAACCCTTGGTCGTCTGCCTCTTTCTATCTCCCTTCGCAGTCCCTCGCCGATTCTCGCTGCAACCTTCATGCCACCTCGCGGTCGTCCCACTCTCGTCGTTCTCCCTCCTGTCGTTTCCTCCTCTGTCGCGTCGCTCCCCGTGGCGCATTGTAAAATTCTTTTGTCGACCACACAACGCGACACTCGGGCTGGCGAGTAGAGGCCACCCAGGGTACCCTCTCCGAGGACTCCGGCGCGTGCTCCAAGAGACTCGTAGCTCGAGAGAGATGGGCCTCTCGCCTGGACACTCGGGATCACTCGGCTCGCTGTCCACCGAGGCTGCTGTCGCCGCCTGCTCGGTGGACATGTGCGAATACGAGCAGGACGGAGAGGTCGCACAGCGAATCGCGGCTGTCATCCCGTACTATCCGTACAAGGGCATCCCGCGCTTCTGTGCGCCGCACCTCACCTGGCGCTTTGACGCCTGGCCCTGATCGCGCAACTGCTCGCTTTGACGCCTGGCCCTGACCGCAGACGATATCAACGGCTTTTGCGCGCGGCCCGACATTTTCCAGGAGGTGGTCGATGTCTTTGCCGCGCGCTACCGCGGCAAGATCGACTCGATTGGCGGCTTCGACGCCCGCGGTTTTGTCCTCGGCCCGCCCATAGCCCTGGCCTTAAAGGTGGGCGTTGGCGGTCCCGCGATGCGTCCCGCCGTCAGAGGCTGAGCGGCATATGCTACGCGCTGCGTTCCAGGTGCCCTTTTTCATGCTGCGCAAGCCGGGCAAGATGCCCAACGCCATCGGCTCGGGTGGGTATGCTGTGGAGTATGGCAAGCGGGATGGTATGTGCATTCCGCGCGGCCACCCGCTGGACAAGACAGACCCGAAGAACAAGTCGACCGTCGTCAAGCCGGGCGACCGGGTGCTGCTGGTGGATGACCTGGTACGAGCAAGCGCCTCGACCGTGCCTGTCGCTCGCCACGCCTCCCAACCTCCGCAACCTCTCGCGGTGCCAGGTTGCGACGGGTGGGACGCTCTCCTCGGGCGTGGAGCTGGTCCGCCGCGCCGCGGAGCCCGGGAGGCGCCGGAAGGCCGCACGTCGAAATGCCGCGACTGGCCCTTCCGCCGCAGGTGCGCGCGATGGGCGCCACCGTCGTCGAGTGCGCGTGCGTGGTCGAGCTCAAGATGTTCATCGACCCGCCTGCCGACTCGGGGCTGCCCTCGCGCAAGAAGAGTTGGGAGGAGAAGGGCATAGCGGACGTGCCGGTGTGGGGCCTCGTGTCAGAGGACATTCTCACGCTCGAGGGCGAGCTGCCGCCGGGCTACGTTGACGACGGCGAGGAGCACTAAAAACGACGGTGTCAATGCTGAATGCTCAATCGCGGCCCCGCCTGCATTCATAACGTCGTGGGGGGTCGTACCCCCCCACTCATTAGCATGCGTTCGGTGCACAATATTCGCTGTATGTCGGCGACCCAAAGCTCGGCGGCCGTCGCTCGCGCCGGCCGACTCCCTGGGCGCTGGGGACCGGGCCCATCTCACATCCGCCATCTCGCGGGCGAATAGACTTTTAATTGAATAGAGGGGCCATGAGAGGGGCGGTCTCTCTCGACTTCAGAGAAAAGAGGCAGGAGCGAGAGAGAATATTCCACAACAAGAGGGGGTTCTCCTCACCAACCCTCTCCTTTCAAAAGGGGTGACCTCTTGTGCCGCTCGACTCGAGCCACCTCGAGCGAGGGTGGGCCACGCACGGGCAAGGTGCCCAGCGCAGCACCCCGGCTCTCACACATCACAACAGGACGCGCTGCCGCATCCCCGCGAGGTCGTCCGTTGAGGTGGTGGAGGGGGCCCGAGATGGCCCGCTTTGGGGGCTGCCGCCAAAAGAGAGGCCCTGCCTCAGCCGCGACAGCCCGCCCGTCGCTGGCAGCTCGCGCAAGTCCGCCACCTGCGAGGAGGAGTGCTCCCCCAGCGCGCCGCCCTCGCCGTCCTCCGGGTCGCTCGACTCCAGCCCCTCCTGGCCGTCCACCGGGAACAAGAAGGTCTCCTCGTGCAGCAGCCGCTGGTGCGCGTACATCACGAACCAGCCCGCGGCGGTGGAGACGATCGACGCGACGACGACGAGGCCGATGCCAATCTCGAAGGCGGCGCCGAGCGAGATGGTGGTGTGCACGTGCGTGCGGGAGGTCTCGGGCACAAACTCGGAGAAGTAGCGGTCGATGAGCGAGGAGAGGAGCCAGACCTGCGACTCGAACTGGAACTCGATGGCGGCGCCGAGCTGGAAGATGGTGGCGCCAATCACGACGACGAGCACGTCCATGCCGGTGTAGCAGTACGCGACTTGGGCGAGCAGCCCGAAGTTGTGGCTCGTGTGCGGGTCCATCGGCACGAGCCAGATGATGAGGCAGAGGCTGAGCCAGACCACGGGCATCACGCCGCACAGGATGAGGAAGAGGTAGCGGTGCGCCTGCAGCACGGCGCCGCCGATCGCCGGCGCCGACTCGCCGAGCACGTCGCCCATCGAGAAGAAGGAGAAGGACTGGTGGGAGCTCTGCCCGGGCTGCGAGTCGATGATGTTGCCGACGAGCCCCTCGACCGAGATGGTGAAGGAGGTGGTGAAGAAGGCGACCAGCGTGAGGCCGATCGAGCCGAGCAGCCACCACTTGACCAGCTGCAGGTGCCGCGTCTTGAGCTTCAGCCGGTGCACGCGCAGCCCGCCCGCCGGCTCGTCGCCGCCAGCCTCGGCCACCAGCGTCCGTTGCACCGCCTCCGCCTGCCGCGCCGCGGGCGCCAGCGAGAGCCGCGCGAGCGATTGGCGCGGCGAGCCGCGCACATGGCCCTCGACGGTCCGCGAGCGCCGGAGCGAGGTCGGCGCGGGCTCCGTGCGAATCCGGCCGAGCGCGACCTCCTTCTCCGCCTCGTCGGGCTGGGGGGGCCGCCGGCCGAAGGGCGAGAAGGAGCGCAGCTGCGCGAGCAGCGGCGGGGACGCCTCCTCCGCCGGCGGCGCCGCGGACCTCGCCGACGCTTGCGCCGACGTCTGGCGCGCGAGGGTGGTTCGCTCGATCTTGGAGGTGAGCTGCGCGGTGTACTTGCGGTGCGACTCGAGGACAGAGACCTGGTGCCAGTGGTTGACAATGTTGGTCGCGATGAGCGAGAGCATCAGCGCGACGATGAAGAGCGAGACGAGCTCGAGCGGCGCCACCTCGGTCGCGAAGCCGACGAGCGGCGTCGGCGAGCCGCACAGGCCCGGCGGCAGCTCTTGGGCCGTCGGGACGTCGAAGTTGAGGTGGAAGCCCGCCATGAGCAGCTGGAGCAGCAGCACGTCGAAGAAGGACCACTTGCCAAAGGCGTCGAAGAAGAAGAGGAAGGCGCCGCGCCGGTCCGCGTGCAGCACGCGCGGCGGCGCCCAGAGGGCGAAGAGCGTCAGCGTCATCTTGACGTACGGCCAGGTGCCCGACATGCCGCCCACGAGGATCGCCAGCGGCGGCGAGCCCGACGACCAGATCTCGAGCACCGTGTCGGCCACGGTGATGTTGAAGCCGTTGATGACGGGCAGCGGGTCGCCGGCGACGGAGACGTGGATGAAGAGGTTGCCCAGCGCGCCGTTGCACTGCGAGTAGACAAACATGGCCATGATGGCGACGCAGACCGCCGACATGAGCAGCGACTGCCACAGCGGCTGCTCGCGCGCGAGCGAGAGGCCCGTGGAGACGTCGTCGTTGGCCGCGGCGCGCTCCCCCGGCCGGCACGCGCAGTGGTACCCGATGATGCTTCCCGAGATGAGCACCGCCGTGCCGTAGATGCCGAGCAGGATGCAAACCTTGACGAAAGTGTGGTCCTCCGGCGCCTCGGCCTCGCGCGGCGGGAGCGTGCCGGCGCACGCCTGGTGCGCCTTGGCGAGGGTCCTGTTGACGAGGTCGTTGCCCAGGTCGAGCCCGTCGGGGAGCAGGGTCGACACCAGCCAGTACACCCACCCCGTCGGCACGGTTGCCGGGAGCGGCTGCCCCCGCGCGTGCACCTCGAGCTCGAGAAGCGCGTCGGACCAGTCGGCAATCTCGAGCCGCGTCGACGGCAGGAGCCGCGCGGCCGAGAGGGGGAGCGCGGCGCACGCGAGCGACGCGTTGGCAGCCTCGGGGCGCGGGAAGGGCTGCAGCAGCTCGACGTCGAGGTCGAGCTGCAGCCGCACCGCCGCGAGCGAGAGGGTGACGTTGTACTCGTGCCACTCGCACCCTTTGCCGCCGAAGCGGTCGCCGTTCGAGAAGCAGCCGAGCTGCACGCGCGCCACAAAGGAGATGCGCAGAGGCTTCTCGGCCGAGCCGAGCCCGATTGTGCTGCGCAGCGTGGTTGGCTCGGCGCAGTCAGCCGCGAGCAGCTTCAGCTCGGAGAGCTGGTCCAGGTTCTCCAGCCGCGGCTCCGACACCTCGATTGTGACGGGCCCGAGCCACGCGCCGTCGAGCGGGACGGAGACGGCGCCGTGCACCGACACGTCGCCCAGCCCGAGCGCCTCGAAGAGCGTGTTGACGAGCCGCGCCGTCAGCTCCGACTCTGCGAGCTGCACGAGCGGCGCGCGGCACCACTCGACGGGCGCGGGTGGCGGCGGCGGCGTCGGGGGTGGCTCGCAATCCCCGGTGAGCCAGTCGAACGCGGACGGCAGCAGCCCGTTCACCATGTTGAGCAGCGGACCGCTCGTGAGGGCGGCGATGGCGTCGGGCGAGACGTAGTTTGCGTCGAGAAAGTCGATCGCGTCCGAGACGAGGCCGTACAGGCGCGCCTCGATCTCCGGCCGGTAGATCTCGTAGAGCGGGTCCTCTCCTGCGGCGGGGGGCGGGCCGGGGTGGGGCCCTCGCGCGCGCGGGGTCGCAGAGGGCGCTCGCCCCGCTCACCGAGTCGGATCACGTCGGGCGAGAGGCTCAGCAGGAGCTGCCGCAGCGAGGCGACGCGCAGCGGGCGGAGCAGGCAGGCGGGCGTGAGGTAGAGCCAGGGCGTGGCGAAGAGCTCGTCGGTCGAGAGGGGCGCGAAAGCGATGGCCGAGGCGGAGAGGTTGGAGAGGGAGAGGGAGAGCTTGAGCTGCTGCGCGAGCGGCGCGCTCTTCGCGTGGTAGAGCAGCGAGTCGGGGCCGGCCTCTGGCAGGGCGATGGAGAGGTTGAAGCGGAGCTCGACGGTGAGCTCGCGAAAGCCGAGCCCAAACTCGAGCGAGTACGGCTCGGTGCTGCGGCCGCGCGGCTTGGCGAGCGCGAGCTGGTTCAGGGTGTGGAGCCCGCCCAGCTCGAGGTAGGCGGGGGCGAGCCGGAGCGACGCGCCGACGACCGGGTCCGTGAGGGTCGGGATGCGCTGCGCGAGGTCGATCTCCCAGAGGGGGAGGCGCAGCTGGCCCTTGCCGTGCTCACCGAGGAGGTGGCCCGCCTACAGCCCAGAGCTCGCGCCTCAGGGCGGGAAGGCCCTGGCCCTCGCAGGCGCGGCGCCCGCCGTCACGGCCGCGGCCTCTTGCAGCGAGAAGCCGCCCAGGCCGCGCTCCGAGTTGAGAGTCACGAGCAGGCCGCCGGCGACGTCGCGCCAGACGAGCGTGTCGCCGCGCGGGTAGGGCGAGGGCGGCTCGGGGAGGGGCGGCGAGAGGATGAAGTCGCTGCCGTCGCCACCGAGTTGCTTCGGCCCCATTTGCTGGCGGACCCACTCGCAAAAGAGCTCGCTCTCGCTGACGGCCGACTCGGCGACGGCGGTCGAGACTTGCTCGAGGAGGACCTGTTGTCAAGAGGGTGCGGCTGTCGAGAGGGCGCGGGCTCGCCGTGGCCGGCGCGGGCGGGCAGACACGTCGTGCAGCAGCGAGAGGATGAGTGCGATGAAGGGCTGCAGGTCCGTCTCGAGCGAGAAGCCGAGGCTCGTCTCGCGCCACACCGAGAGAGAGAGCCCGTGCGGCGGCAGCTCGAGACCGAAGTGCGGCACGCGCAGCGGCGGAGGGTACGCGGCCGTACCGTCGACGACGAGGCGGACCGACATCGCGGCACCCTGCGGCGCACCGCCAAGCCGGCGACGGTGAGAGGACTACGCCACGCCCTTTGGGGGAGGGCGAGCGGAGGGCGGCGGCCGCGCGCCTCAGCCTTGAGGTGCGCGCCGATCACGGGTGCGAGCGCGAGGTGGTGCACCTGGGGAGGGGGAGGGGGCCTGCGTCGCGGCGGGGGCGCGAGGATAGAGCACGGGGCACGTCGCGAGGCCGGAGCCTTGTCAAAGTCGGCGCGCGTCACGGTGAAGGAGGGAGCGCCTCCCGGCAGCGGCGCCGAGGGTTGTGAGCGGCACGTGCTGACCAGCCCGCCCAGTACCGCGCAGTCCGAGGACGACACCTACGTTGGAAGGGTCGGCGCGTCGGGCCGCTACCGCGCGAGGCGGATGCCGCGCCGAGGGGCGGCGCCTCAAAGCTGTCCAGATGCACGCGAAAGCCGATCCCATCGAGCGCGGCGGCGAACCCAGGGGGAAGCGAAGCGTTGCCGGTGCGGTGGTGGGCGGAGTGCACGTCCTGCACGCTGAGGCCAGACACCATCAGGCCCTCTATCCGCAGAGAGAGCACGGTCGACGGGTCGTCAGCGGGAGAGATGCGAAGGCCGATGTGAGGAAGCTGCCCGACCACGCCACACAGCCAGCGTGGCAGGCCTGGCTCGAGCAGCGAACAGGCCGGAGGGTCCTCGAAGCCACCATTTTGATAACGCTCAATGCGATCGGTTTGATCGGTGGAGCCTCCTTCGTCTCGCGATGAGGGATTCCACGCGGCGCCAAAGTCTGGGAAATTGGTTTGACCGAAGAGGCCTCCGCCACGCGGTGTCGCCAACGAAAATGGGCGCAGCGAGAGCCCGTCGAGCCCGTTCTGTCCGAGCGCGGCGAGGAAGCACAGCATCATGGACCTTGGCCTAGGGTCCTTTCCCGGGAGTGAACCAGCGCGAGTGACTAGAGGAGAAGAAACGCTCTTTATGAAGAAAACACACGCGGACAGCACTTTGCGCTGGGGATTGTCCGAGCCTGGCTGTTCTTCACCTTTCTACCTACCTACCTGGGGATTGGCGCTATGCCGAGGGAAGCTGCGCGGCCTGATCCACTAGAGTGGATAGGGCGGCACGCTGGAGGCGCTCCACCAGTGCACTGTCGACCGTGGAGCGACTTCGATGTGCAACTGCGCGGAACCCGTAACGACCAGATGCCGGTGGGCGGGCGCACGCAGATCGCGATTGACCTCGCTGATCTGGATGCATGCGCGCCGCTTGAGACATGGGCTAGCTCCCGGGAAACCGGGCCCACACAAGTAGGAAGTGGTTACTGAACGTGTGGGAGGCAGTGTGCACAGTCCAGGGGTCCACCGTGTACACGGTGGACCCTTGTACGTGCCTGTCGGTGCTACTAGAATGTGGCACGGGCCTGTGAGATGTGCATGCACCCTCCGCTCCGGGGTGTGTGCACGCTGGACTCTGGGACCGGAGTCGGGCGGGCTGCCGTCCTCCCATCCCTCCCTTGGGTTCTCCGTTTTCTTTCTTTCTTTTTCGGGCGGGTCAGACCTCATCGCAAACCCTGTCAGCAGTCCTCCTCCGGGAATGTATGTACTGAGTAAGAGCCACATACACTGAGAGAGAAAATGCTATGAGAGACGCGATCAAACCGATACCGGCATCTGTGTGGGTGAACCTTCTTTTCTAGACGGCTTGGATTGAGAGCAGCCTCGCTCTCAATCCTAGAAGTCGAAGGATTGTGAGCAGCACTCCTCGCAAGCGTAGCATCTCTGTACGATTGCTAGCACCCACGCTCGCAATCCTACATCTTCTAGGACTAAGAGCAGCTCCGCTCCCAAGGTGACTGGTGACGCCTACGACTACTACCAGCGCGCTCGCAATCCGAGCAAAGTCTGGGCGCCTCTACATCGCTCTACAACGCAGGCGCTTCGTCCCGCGGCGGATGTAGAGCTCTACAGCTCTACAGCGCTCTCCAGCTCTATCTACAGCTCTACAGCGCTCTACACTCTACATCCTCTACATACACCCTCCCTCAGGGGTGCAGGCTGAAACCACAGCAGCTCTGGTCGTGCTCTCTCTACACTACCCTCTATACACCCTCCCTCAGCCGCTGGGTAAGGCGGCTGCCACGCATGGCACATGGCAGGCAAAGCCCGCCCAGCACTTGGAGCACTTGGAGTGCAGTCAGTAACCTATAGGTAGGTAGGTAGAAAGGTGAAGAACAGCCAGGCTCGGACTGGACACCAACGCGGTATGGGTGGACGCTGGACAGATGATGACGACACGCACGAGCGACACACAGACACAAACAAGCTCACAAGACACACAGCCAGCTGGCTGCCACACACCCTGAGTTGGCGTACACATAACTCAAGGCCACATCCTCCCTGTCGCCCCCCCCAGCACTCCAAGGTGCCAAGAGAAACAAACAAGGGCACAACAAACAACAGACGACAGGAAGTGACATGTGAGGCTAGAGCAGCATGCAGTAACCTCACAACGAAAAAGAGAATTTACAATGAAAAAGAGAAACGGATTCGCGTGACTCTGCCACCCAGCATCTCTCCAGCCAACGTGAGGTCCTGGCACCTGCAGCGCCGTCGAAGTGCGCCTTTTTGTCATGGCAAAAAGGCAGGAACTGGGAAGCGCTCCTCCCGATTCCTTTCCTCAAGCGACGCCCAGGCACCGTCACGCCACGGTGGCGCTGGTGTCTCTGACTTTCGTTGCCGCCGGAATCGTCCTATTTCGCCACGCGAACGCCGCCCCCAAGTTGCTCGGAGCCCAAGCGGGAGCCCCAGCGGTCGAGCCGACGTTCACACCGGCAATCCAGGCCAACCCTCACGCCACGTTCCACACGAGCATGGGGACCTTTGTCGCAGAGATCTTTGTTGACTCGATGCCGCTCACCGCCTCGAACTTTCTCGATCTCGCGCGGACCGGCTTCTACGACGGCCTGCACTTCCATCGTGTAATTCCCGGCTTCATGGTGCCCTCCGCAGCATACACATAAATGTGGCCACATCCGCCGCCCATTCGCCTGAGCCGCTTCCTAAGCCCTCCGCCTTCATCGCCTCAGGACCAGTTTGGCTGCCCCTTCACCAGAGACCCGCTGAGCCCGCGCGCTGGGACGGGCGGTCCACCGCCCGGCTCCACCTTTGTCAACCTCGCCACCGGCGAGAGCATCCGGCGCAGCGCCGACGGGACCATCCCCGACGAGCACACCGCGCGGATCTCGAACGCGCCCGGCACCCTCTCGATGGCCAACACCGGGCGGAAGGACTCGGGCGGCTCGCAGTTCTTCATCAACGTGGGCCAGAACGCCTTTCTCGACTGGTTCAGCCCGGGCCGCTCCCAACACCCGGTCTTCGGGAAAGTGGTCCAGGGGTACGATTTGATCGTCAGGATCTCAAAGGCGCGCGCGTCCGCGCGCCGCCGTGCACCACCAAACGTCCTGGCTCGCACGGCGAAGTCCGAAGATGCTGATCCGGCCGACGCGCACTGACAGGTGCCGACGCAAGCCGACCGGCCACTCGAGCCCATCACGGTGCAGTCCATTGTCATCACGTGAAGGAAGGCTGGTCCCCCGTCACACACACTCTCTTCCTCGCTTCACTTGCGGGGGGGGGGGAGCTCACACCACAGCCCCACGCGCCCGGCCCCACACCCGCGGCGGCGGCCACCGTCGCCTCCCGCCGTGTCTGATGTCCGCTCTTATCTTCCAGGTCTCCTTGTGTTAAGGATCGCGGCGGGATTGCACTTTTTAGCAGCTTTTTAGGCGGGTTGGATCGGCGGTTGCACGCACTTTTTGGCGGGTGCGTGTATCGCATCTCGCGTGGTCTCTCTCAGACTTCCAGTCGTCCCGGCTCAAAAGAGGTGTGTCCACTGTCCTCAAGCTCGAGCTCTCTGTGCAGGAATCGATCGATGGAGGCATGCTGCGTGCACCGCACGCCTGGCACGTAGCCCTCCACTTTCCGGCGCACAGCGTCGGCAAACCCGAGCGTGTCCGCCTGCGCGCCGCAGGTGAAGACATCCACGGCCAACCAGCCGTGCTCCGAGTAGCAGTGGGCGGTGGCGTGCGACTCATCGAGCAGCACCGCCGCCGTGAACCCTGGCGGCGTCGTTCCGTCCTCTCCGAGCAACACTAGCTTGGAGTGGACAACGGTAGCGCCATGTGCGGCTGCTGCCGCCTCTAGCGTGGCGAGCGTCCACCTCCCCGCGGCAGCCGGCTCGACGGCAAAGCCCTCAAAGTCGAGCACGACGTGCGACCCGTGCGCCGCGAGCGCAGATCGCTTATTGAGCGTAATTCTGCTGGCCGACGGGGCAAGACTGATCACCGACAGCACGGCCACGGCTCCCGCCATCGCCGCCGAGTGCGTCTCGATCCGCCCTCAGAGCGTCAAGCCATAAATAACGCACGCGCCCTCAGCGGAGCTGGGAATAGGACCGCCGCAAGCGGCGTGGCGTGGGGCGGTTGACAGGGGAGGTTGCCCCTGCCGCGGGTCAGGGCGGTTGACAGGGGCGGTTGCCCCACCCCCCTGCGCGCGGGCCTTCTAGGCCCGCGGGTAGTCTCCCCCCATTCCCAGGGCCTCCAGGGCTCGCACCTCAACCTCTCAGACTCACAGACCAGCGCACAGCGCCATAGGACGTATTTCCTTCTCAATAACAAGGCTGTGAACAGCAAACGGGACGATATAGCCGTTGGTCCTTGAAATGCACGCCCTGCGAGCGGGGCGGGGTGCGCGCTGTGCCTCTGTGTTCGTGCGTCGCCCATCTCTCCTGGAGATCGGAGACGTTTGTATTTATTTATTGAAATGTAAATGGTATCCCCTGCTACAACTCGGACAAGACATTGCTCATTGGAAAAAGCCTACACCCCAATAATCGCATCCGCATAGAGCGCGCCGGCCAGGGCTGCCGCGGCGCCAACAACCAGGTGCGAGGCCACGAGCGCCAGCACCGAGCCCGTGGAGCGAACGACGCGCCCGCCCGGGCCGGACGACTTGCGCTGGGGCTGTGCCTCTCGAGGGGCCTTGGAGGCGGCACCACCGCCGCCACCACCGCCGTCGCCGTCGCCATCGCCGTCGCCTCCGCCGCCGCCTCCGTTTCCGCCGCCGCCCTCCTCCAGCGCTGAGATCCGCTCCTGCGCCTTGAGCAGCTCCTCCTCCGCTCGGAGCAGCTCCACCGAGCGGAGCAGCGCGAGCCGCTCCGCCGCCGCCAATCGCTCGCGGGCGCCGCCGCCGCCGGTCACCGTGCGAATCAGCGACGAGGCGGTGTCGGCCTCCGCGCTCGCGGCGCCGCGCGTCGCGCGGAGCAGGTGCTGGCAGTGCCGCGCGTCGGAGCCCCACGCATCGCGAAGGCTGTCGAGGTGCGTGCTCACCTGCGCGCCGCGGCAGTTCTGCGGCAGCAGCGCGTAGCGCACGATCACGCGCTCGGGCGCGCCCGCGGCTGTCAGCCGCAGCCGCACCTGCACCTGCTTGCCTGGAGGCAGCACGCCGTCCGACGGCGCCGCCTCGAGCTGCGTGTCGGTCGCCTGCACGCGGAAGCAGACGCACGACGCGCGGGAGAGGTTGGTGAGCGCGAGCGAGCCGGCGCCGGCGCCGTCGAACGCGACCGCGTCGTCGGGCACGCAGAGGAGCACCACCGCCGGCTCCTCGTCGAAGGACATCGTGCGAAAAAAAGTAAAGTGATCTGTCTTCTCTTGACAGTTGTTTTGTTTAAATTCTTCTCTTTTAGCACCTTACTCCTCTCCTTAAAATCCCTGTGTGGTGGCGGCGTGCCGTCCTCCCATCCCTCCCTTGGGTTGTCTGTTTTCTTTCTTTCTGAGAAAAGTTGTTTGGTATTATCTCTCAACGCACTCTCTCACATGACAAGCGATCCCACGACAGCGATTGTGGGG